GAGTGGGTAGCTATGACGACGACAATAATGACATAGTAGTCTGTAAGTGAGGTGGGTGGGGTGCAGTGGGGGTGGGGCGGTGGATGGCAAAGTACTGGGGTGGTAGATTAAACGACGACAACAATGGCATGATGGTCAATGGGGTGGCCAGGGATAAGTGATGGGGTGGTAACAATGGTGACGGTAACGAGACAAGTAGTGGTGGTGGGGGATGATAGTAGTAGCATGGTCATGATGGGGATAAGAGGTAGGCAAAGGGGTGGGCGATGTTGGTTAAATCAGATGCAAAGAGATGAAATTCAATTTCACTTGTGCCAAAGAACGATGAATTCATTAACTTGTGAAATTCAAAAGGATGTCAGTATATAAACCACACAAAGGAATTGGAAATTGGAATGTGGTCAAAGAAATTGATCAACCAATTCCGTGAAATCCCTTGAGTTCGACGAACCAAACAACATCTCAGCTTCTTTCAACGAAACAGAATCAGATGAATAGTTCATCATCTCAATTAGATCATTGAAAATGAAATCATGGTTTACAAACAAGTATTTGCCAAAAGAGTGGTGGCATATAATTATCATTTTACAACATAACTCATGGCACTTGGGCTATTTTTTACAAGGTTACCAACATTGCCTATAGTTCTCTCTTTCAAGAAACTATGGCTTAAAACTAAAACCGAAAATTACTATCGGGAAACAGAGCTTGATCATAAAGTGAAGACATTCAGTTTCTACAAGATGTATCTATATCTTCTTCAATATTTACATACTACCATTGTGTGCGTTTGTTGATATACATCAAGCTGGGAGTTCTGAACTTGAGACTGAAGCTTGGGTAGCCGCAGGTGTGTCACAAACGTTGCACCTACATACTGGGCACACACTGAAACACCACAAAGAGTGGGAGAACAATAAGATAAAGATAAGGTGCTTTAGAAGGTTTGTCCTATTGTTAACATCAAATAATCATTGGCCCAGATGTACCCGGATTACGGTGCCCGTGGAGACCGGCATCCCAAGAAGTCAAGAGTTCAAACTTTATCAAAGGCGAGAAGGGTGGGCGAATTTTGTCGTATAAACTTCCAAAAAGAACTCTTGAGGTCAAATGGACTAAGCACCCATTTGGTTTGACAAAATATTCTTGTGGGATTTGAATTTCATGCAAGAATTTTGAACTTTCGGTTTGTTTGATTTGGAATAGTAGAATTCCATTCTTTATAGATAATTTATAAAAACAAATTATAAGTATTATAAAATTAAGTAAATTACCCTTTATTAATTGATTATTACAAAACGTATATTTTAAAATATTATCACAAACAAATCTTATAAAATCCCATGAAATACCAACTACTCCATGGGATTTCTATATCCAATGTTTGTGGAATTTTATTGAAATTCAGGGATTTCAATTCCAAACTTTCCTGTAAATCAAAGCAGGATTCAAATAGAATCCAATTCCAAATCCAGCATACCAAAAGGCATACTTAGTTGGGGGGTCAGAGGGTGCAGAATGAAAATGGGAATCATTAATGGTGTCTGGTTGCAACGGAATGATTAACAGAACCTAGGCAATGAAATATTCCTCAACAAATTAGGGGGACGGAACTGATTCCCATTTCCATTCCCCAACATTCTTATTCCCGTTGTTATTTCCATTCCCATTCCCATTCCGTAGAATATACCAAGTGTGCCCTAGGTTTTAATGTCAAATATTTTGTTACAAATATAGCAACATCATTTTTCTATTTGGAGGTAAAAGCAATGTGCATCTCGTCTGAAGATGATAATTAGTAGTATTTGCTAGAGGTGCGAATCAGAGTTCAAACCATATAAACTGATAAACCAGACTTGAACCGCAGTTGGGTCAGCTTTTCAGCTCCTATATTTTGGAAATCTAAGGTCCTCGGTATAGTTTGGACTGAAACCAGTTAAAACCAGAACCAGCCCGATCTTATTTTTGTTGCATGTATGTTTCCAGGAAAACATCCCTGTTTGACCATATGCCATCAACTAAGAGAATATTGAAGCTCGTGTTTGAAACAGTGTTTGGCCACTGGCCCTACTTTTTACTCCGATAGTACAAAAAGCAAAAACAAATATACCATCATGCTTCCAAAGAATTACACTTCTTGGGTTATTCATTAAGACGAAGGATCGTGTGAAAATAGGAGTTAAGTTGAGAAGCATAAGAAGGGATCCCAACCCTTGATCACTTTTAATCTCACCTCCGCCCCATGAATTGCGCTTACCACGGAAATCGATCGTGCACCGCATTAGTGTTTCTCTTCAATTATGATTGCAAGGGTAGAGATCCCTTCTTACCCTTCCCACCATAATTTCCATTCTCACCGGAACCCAATCCATTCATTAATAAATATATTAAAGAACCCTTCAAGAAAATAAAGAACTAGTAAAACATTCTGTTCATGGTTCAGCCTGAACCCAACTGGTGAAAAGACCAGAACCTGACCAGCAATTCTGCCTGGTTCTCGGTTCTAGCTTTCTTCAATATTCAATTTCAGTTTCTCTTTTTTTTTCTTTTTTTGGAGTTTGGTGTGGTTCGGGAACAATGCAAAGTGTTTTCATCCATCAAATAGTGAGAGGTGATGAAATTATGTGAGAAGGTTTTTGGGTTTTGAGGAGGATGAGGGATTAGAAAAATACCCATTAACTTCTTTAAGCCATTTGTCTACACAAGGAGCATGATACTCATGTTGGCACGGAAGCACCCTTATTTTATCTCCCTCCTCATAATCAATCAGACAAATATAGCACCTGCAGTCCAACAATCGCTTACATTATCAGCACTCTGATACTAACCTGCAACAGTTTGACCTATTATTTTCAGATTATAAATGTGGCCAACTCTCTGGCCTTACAAAACGAGTAAAACCCACAATTTATGAAGAAAAAAAATGAGTAAAACCCACGTTTTATGAAGAAAATATGAGTAAACCCCACGTTCTATGTATCATGGCCAAGTCACATCAATATAAAAACAAGGCAACTGTCTAAATATTGGCTAAACCTGCCAGCCCTGCGGTTTATTCAATTAAATCACAGTCCAAGCAATAAATTTAAACTAAACACAAAACAAGAGTCTAAGGGTGGGCTTACTGTTGCACATAATTTGGGCCACTTTCAGATGCATCCATCTTCTTGTGACTTTTAAGAAGAAACGAATCTACAACAGACTCTGGTGCAGGTAGCGAGAGCATTGGCATTGAAAGTGATAGAGGCTGTCGATGAATTTCATCCAATACCTAGCGAACAGAAAAAAAATGGTAAATTTTGGTAACTCAAAAAGCCTGTATGTACCACCCCCTTCCCACAAGAAGTGCAATATGTTCAATCATTTTTTGAAGTTTAATCACCTTTGTTGCCCAGTTTTCACAAAACAGCCTCTCTAGCCTCAGGGGTAGAGGCAAGGCCTGTGTACATCCAACTTTCATATGTGAAACATTCATGACTGCACCCTCCTCCACCCTACGTCTGTCTGGGATATAACGGGTTTGTTGGTTTCGTTTAGATTACAAAGTTGCCCAGTGGAAATTTTCAAATATAATGTGTGATCCATCTAGAACCACAAGATTACTTTAATGTAAACGCCTTTTGAGAAAAAAGTATTTGTTTGCCCTTCGAGCATTCTACACTAAATTTTTGCCCAGCAGTCTTAATTTCAAGCCAAAAAGGTGACTTGACCAGTTAGTTGTTAAAGCGATGTTATACAATGTAATTTAAGTGGAACAAAGGAAGTACCTTTATAAAAGCTTTTTCAGCAGATAAAGCTTTTTTCCAAAGAGTAAAGAACAATGCAGATAACAAGCAGAATTATTCAGTTTAAAATTTCTGGAAATACCTCAGATAAAGCCTGAGCAAGCAACACCACACGTGATATGCTTCCAAGGGAACCAACCTCTTCACCCAAGAAAGATGAACCACATGAGCATGTACCATTGCGGTGGAGGCCAGATGCGCAAAATCTAGTTCGGTGCTCTCGCTCATCAAGACCAGCTAAACCTCTTTCTGACATCTACATATATAAAAACATAGTTGATATTTAATCAAAAACAAGAATTATAAAACTGAGACTTGCATTAGAACAATCGTGCAAACAATAGCATCTGTCATGCAACTTCCATTTGGATGTTGGTAATCGAATGAAATCATGGATTCTTGGAGGTCATCTTTTCCATCTTGTTGTCTCGCCACTTAATAATTTCTTTTTTTAAGTTTCATTTAGCAGCCTCCTACTAGTTTCTCATATAATGTATGGCTGTTTGAGAGTTGAAGCAAATCTTATTCAATATACACAATACTTAATAGAGTTATGTGTGTTCAAAATTTTCTGCCACTTGCACTGGTAGGAGAAAATCATCAAAAGTTCACTAAGATTATTGTCTTTTTTTCTCAGCCAAGAATACAACATCAACACTTCCCACTCCTACCCCACATTTCAAATAGCCCTCAGCTTCTCTTCCTCCTATTGTTCTTTGCACAAAACCAGTAGATCGATTAAAATAAGCCTCTTATGATCCAAAGCCACAAAATGAAGAACCAAATTTCTAACAAGTTCAATACTTTTAACAAATCAGAGACTTACTACTCCACCAAATCCACAAACTGAGATGCAGACAAACATTGCACAAAGAAAACATTCTAGGAAAGAAAGTAACCAAACCTTGCAGTAATAAGTTTATGCTTGCCGGGCACAAAGTGACTAAGATACGGCAGAGCCAAGAGAATGAGATTTGACTGGAAACTGACCAGAATGGATTTATTTTGAAAGATCTACTACACATCCTTGTATTTTTACTATCCATCTCTTTCTTCTTTATTGTTGGGAAGAGGTGAAGAGAGATGAGAAAGTGGTGTTTGGTATTTGATGATTTGACAGCTTACCAAATTTTGAAATTCTACCCTATATTGACTATTCAAATGAGTTAAATGAGATCTCAAGAAATCGTGTTCTTCAAGAGCAAGCTATATGAAGTATTGGCATGTAAAATTAGTGAATGTTTATACCAATAATGAGCCAAACGTGAGAGAGAGTACACCCTCTGTCTCAAAAAAATGTGAAGTTTGACTTGACAAATAGGTTGGACTTAGATCATAAGTTAAATATCTAAAATGCCCATCTGCAATGAAAAAGTAGAGACCATGTGCACTAGGGTTGGGTTCCGGTGAGAATGGAAGTTATGGTGAGAAGGGTGAGAAGGGATCTCCACCCTTGGATCAATCCTAATTGAAGAGAAATACTATATCAACATTAATGAGATACACCGGATCAATTCCCTTCTAAAGGACAATTCATGGGTTGGTTTGAAATTAAAAGCGATCAAGGGTCCAATTCTTACACCTCTCATTTAACTCTTATCCTCACACGATCTTTCGTCGTGTGCACTAATAGGCAAAAGTAGTGACTTTACTAAAACCTTACCCAAAAGAGAAATGTTGCATTTATTATGGGATCACCTGAAAAATGATGCATTTATTTTGGAATGGAGTAGATTTACCCTATTTTACTGTTAGAACTCGTACATTTCTATCTTCTACAAGAAGAAAAATTATCCATTAATCTATACACTATCCCCATTTTCTAAAAACCATATTACAAAATCTCAAGTTTTGTGTTAATGTAAGCTCAACTTTATAAATGCTACCTGCTACCATGGGCACCAAAACCAAATCATTAATATTTTAGAATAAAAATAAAATTGAATGTTTGAGCACTGATGTAGGTGGGATGAGTTGCCTCAAAAGATCTCGTGAGCCAAACCATCAATAAGCATGGCATGCTTGAGGTTGCTCATCTCACCATCTAAGTCAAACATGAGCCATGGTAGGCTTGAGCTTGGCAGTTAGGCAAGTAGTAACGAGAGCTTAAATTAGCTGCCACTACAGGTTATAGAAGCCTAGACAAGCCACTTGCTTTACTTTTTCTCTTCAATTAACTGTAATTTTGGTTGTGAAATGTCAAATTTTAGATTTGTACAAGCTTATATGAGTCAAACCTATATGAACTAAGCAAAGGCTCAAGTCTGTACAAACCCATAGGCACCAAGCCAAGAAAAGGCTTGAGCAGGTGGTGAGTTGAGCTCATGCTTTTGGCAAATCAAGCCCAGGCTTTTGTTCTCCGAGAACCAAAAGCAACAAGTCAATCCCCAACCTACTAAATTTTCACTTGCAGGGCAAGCTCAGCCTCAGCTTCCCTTGTCAAAAACACAATGTCTGATATAGTAAAGAAAAAGCCAAACCAAATCAGATAAAAGTATATCCCACCTAAAGGGGGTCCAGATAAAGTGTATTAGTAATGTTGAATTACGCTAATAAATAAATTCACTATGACCTATTCTCAATACATATTATTTGGATATTTTTATTCCTAATATATAGGATTTAATGAGTTGTACTTATTAGTAGTTTAAACCAAGTAGTCTGTTAGTAGATCCTATCATCCTATTATCCAGGAAGTTAGCTCCAGCTTGAATCCTATTTATTCCAACTCGTTGATAAAAGAAAAAATATTGCAATTCAGTTATATTTGTTCTCAAGTAACTTGCTATATTGAAATAAAACCTGATTCTATAGGACATTCAGCAAGCTTATACATTCATACATATATATAAGATAATGAGGTAACTCATCATAAAAATTTATCTAGTGTAGCATATCTATCATGCAGGATTTAACTTTCTATTCAATTTTAAGTTTTTCATTAGACACTTGCTAAATTGATTATTCTAAAAATGTAGTTCGAAAAGAAACCATTGGAAATACAAAAAAATGGCCTACAACGCTCCTCAACATGGTGCAAAGGTCCACCATCGGCCTAAATGTGTTACAAGTTAGAATACCGAATGTGTGCATGCTCAACAAACACATACCTGAGATCTAAAGTGCCTTCGCTCTTCATTTCTACCATGACTTCTGGAATAACCATGTCCACGTCCATCATGACGAAGATCACCACTAATATCAAGAAGCCAGCGATCATGGGATCCTAGATCATCAACAAGACCAGCTGTGAAAATAACCGCTGGGAAATCACTGTTCCTTCTAGAGCTGCGTCTCGATGAAGTTTCCCCAAAGAGCCTCCCACTGTTCCTTCTTGCTTCAAGACTATTAAACTCAGAAATGCCGCTGGGAAAGACATCGGGGGACACACTCCCTGTATCCACAAGAAGTATACGACCACTTATCACATCTCGTTCAACATCAGATGACAAAAATCCCGATCCAGAAGTTGTCAAACCACTTCCAAACATCCGAAGGCTTAGAAAAGAATCAGAAAGAACGAATAAAGCTCTACCATCAGAATCACCACTCATAGGTATATCATTACGATTCAGCCCGTAACTTTCATCAGGATCAAGATTTTCTTCGGTTTCTCCAACAGTGCTTAGACTTATATTGTCAGATGAAGTCATAGGCATTCCTTCATTCCGTGCACTGTATGTGTCGATAGCTGAAGCCGAGTCCAAACCATCATTTCTTGAGACTGACTCATGTATTGGCTGACCTTCATAAGATGTGCTAGCTTTGTCCTCACTACCATTTACAGAATCATGTTTTACAACAGCATTTTTTGCACTATTATTACAGCTTTCAGATTCTCCAGTTTCTGCCTCAGAAGTTTTAGAACTTGTGCACACCGGTCCAGAACCAAATAATGAAGAAGACACACCTGCAGAACTTACAGATTCGACACTAGCAGGAGGAATATTTTCTATAGAGCTGATAGGTGATTCCAACTGCAAGTGGTGGATGAAGTCAAATGTCAACATTATCAAACACGCACACAAGATTAGTCAAACTATTCCATAAAAGTGCATAAAGAAACAAATTTAAGACTGGGAGTAAACCATTATAGAGCAATCATCAAGGGACCTTACCGCAACTGTTTTGGGCCAACAGAAATTAGAACCATAGCCTTATGCCGCTGAAGTGAGTTCACAATCAATTGACACATATTGGCGTTTAACTGACACGTCATATTAAGATGTCGTAGCAGAGCACAGAAGACATATCAGCATGTGAAAAGATGCTGGCAATATTTTGACTCGGGTGGCAATCTAACAGAAGAATCACAGAAGTCAAGAAAAGAAAAAGTAAAACTAAGAATGATGGGTTTCATTGTTTCTAGTCTCAAAACCACAACCAGGTTCTACACTACTACATTTTTTATTCCTGGTTCACTTTGCATTCTGATAGTTTTTCATTATCTTCTATTCCTCTGGGGTGTCTTGCACTTCTAAGACATCCAAAAAATGAAGAGCGATTTTTTCCTCTTCCTGTCCTTTCAGATTTAAGTTCCAACCGTACAGACCATTTAACCTTTTCATTTTATGGGTCCACTTATAAGGTGTTATAAGAAATGAAGATGAGATTGTGAGATCCATTTGCTAGGATGTAAACCAAAGAGAAGATGATACCCATAAAGTGAAGAATGAATGAAGGAAGAAATGGTATATACGAATGGAACCTAATATTGGTTGTAGTGCCACATAATCAGCCATCACTTGGCAATAATGCCAATTAATTAATACAAATATACAATTTGTCTTCTGGTGGTATATCCACAAATTCAGTAGGTGATTGCTAGCTATGTCTACTCAATATGCCAATACATGATGTGAAAATTATAGACCCAAAAGAAATGTTTATTATCCTAGAGGAGATGCGCAAAATCTAAATAGGTATCTGATTCAACAACAAAAAGAAAGCAAAACCTCTAATGAAAACCACAAATGCAAGCTGCTATCAATAAGAAAGAATATATTCATGCCATATGAAGTCGTCTATAACCATAATCAGAATTTCTCTATTGGAGACCCAAACACTACCATTCAAGCTCAAAAAACAATGATGAGAGTACTATGTATACATACATGATTATTCACAAGAGCATGGGCTATAGTATTGACTTTGTCTGTTCAATTTTTAATACTCACTGATATCGAAAGGTGATTCTTCCATCTAACAATGGAATCCAGAACATCCTGATCCATCTCACTTTTACCTAACATAATCCATAACTAACTTGAGTTTAATTGGAGATCAGTCAATTTCCTCTTTTAAACTCATGCCAAAACAATAAAAGCATGAAATTTGTCAATGATTCATTGCAATTTCAAAACCCAGAGCTCTTATTAGCAAAAACCAGATAAAGCTATTCAGTAATACAATCTTGCAGCAATAATAAGAGCCAAAAGGTAATTTCCATCTTTTTATGTTATGGCACCGCTAAGAAATATTGATACACATAATCGTTTATCAAGAAAGCGAGTTGCACGCAAGTAACAAAAAAAACCCAAAAAACCCTGAAATCAGATCGAAACAACCATCAGTTCAACACTCAACATCAGATTAACACCCTAAAACCAATCATCCAAGAAATTGAAAAGCCATAAGACCAAGAAAACATTAGGGTTCCGGATGCGTAAACGTTGACGATGATGATCAACTATAAACAGAAACATATAAAATCCAATTTTATGTAAAAAAACATACCTCCAACACAGAAGAACGAGAAGTGGAGTTGGAGGTGAGACCACATAGTAGTAAAGATGAGAGCCTTTTCTTTGTTCGATTCATTCTTGAGGGCTTTGAAGATCGATCCGACTCAACTCGACTACTGCTCGAACCCATTTCAGATGCAAACTGACAAACCAGGGAGATTAAGGAGATGAAGAGGATGATGATGGAGCGAGTGAAGAGGACAAAAAGTCGTCTGGTAGAAAATAGAGAGGAGATGAGTTTCGTATGATGGTGGTAAGAGGCCTTTTTGTTATATTTCACTTTCTACCCATGTGCCTGTCAAATGTCACATTGAGGTCCAAAAATAGAAATATTTTAGGGCCCCTGGTTCATTACCGTCAACTTTTCAATAATTATACTATAAACATATATATTAAGGGTTTTGAGATTGCTTATAAAAATAACTTATTGATTTATTTGGTATGACATTAATAATAAACATTTTAAGGTATTTAGATAAATAGTTTATACCGGTGTCAAACCGGTAACAAAGAGATTTTAAAAAGCTAAAAACATTCTAACTTATAATAAATTGACAAAGACTTTCGTAAAAAAACATAAATTGTTTTAAATAAGCAATCCCAAACATCCCCTAAAGTTTTAAAACCTTTGTTATTATTATTATTATTATTATTATTTAGCATGTACAGTTAATTAATATGTATTATTTAATATTGCTTAAATACATGTTTTAATGCATTGTATTACCCCCTAACATCACTCTGATCCAATCGTCGTCCCTTTAGTCTCTCATGTGACATTTAAAGCACTGTGGTTTTAAGGTGGTTGTTGGTTGATTATCTAGCGCGTGGTTTTGGTTGATTACTTTGAACAAGTGAGAGGTAAGTTCTTGAAGGTTGAAAGATATTGCAATAATATAATACTGGCAAACCCAAGTGATTTGTTTGATCGAACTTGATTTGGGATACACAAAAGGATGCCTCTCATGTACAAAGTTACTTTGATCAAGCGTTTACGCCTTTTCTAGATGACTGATAAGATAACATCTTTAATGTGTTATAATGTTATAACCAGGTCCAAGACAACCTGGGTTGAGGTAATTTATACATGTTTATTATGTGGATTACGTGAAATATGCATACCAAAGTAGAAATGCATGAACTATATATGTGAACATGATATTGTGCATGCATATATGTGAAAAGATGGCATGACACATATGATTTATACATGTATGCATGTGGTGTGAAGCATACATG